TTTTTTTTTTTTTTGAGACACGGTCTCACTCTGTTGCCCAGGCTGGAGTGCAGTGGTGTGACCTCCGCTCACTGCAACCTCTTGTCTCCCAGGTTCAAGCAATTCTCCCACCTCAGCCTCCCGAGCAGCTGGGATTACAGGTGCATCACCACACTTGGCTAGTTTTTGTGTTTTTAGTAGAGACAGGGTTTTACCATGTTGGTCAGGCTGGCCTTGAACTCCTGACCTCAGATTATCCACCTTCATCGGCCTCCCAAAATGCTGGGATTACAGGCATGAGCCACTGCACCTGACCTAGACATAGTTTTTCCATACTCAGCACATTAACCAAGCCTTTAACAAAGTACCTCCCTAGGTGTGGGCTCTTTAAAATTCCAGTGACTTAGAAAATTTAGAAAGGCACCAGAAGACAACTATCAAATAAGAAACCTTTAAGGAAAAGCTAGTAGACTGAGTTTATCCTGAAAAGAATAACTAAAAACAAATATAACCTTTTTCCACTAAAAAGATTAGAACAAGTTTAAATTGCAGAAGTAATAAAATAGGCAGGAGTGAGGGGTGACAAACAACCTGATTTTGAAGTTTTTTGAAGTTTTTGAGATAACAAAATATACAACTTAAATCTCCACTTTGGGAAGCTGAGGTGGGAGGATCAAGCCTGGGCAACATAATGAGACCCGATCTCTACAAAAAATTAAAAAAATTAGCTGGACATGGTGACACGTGCCTGTAGTCCCAGTTACCTGGGAGGCTAAGACAGGAAGATCACTTGAGCCTGGGAGCGTGAAGTTGCAGTGAGTCACGATCACACCAAAGCTCTCCAGCCTGGGCGACAGAATGAGACGCTGTCCCAAAAAATTAGACATATATATAAATCTCCAAAAAAAGTATTTTCTGAAATAATCACCCATGAGTTACAATATAATTATGATTTTTCCACTAAAAGCTAAAATATTTTAACAGAAAGGTGGCCTCCATCACTGAGAACATGAACAGCTGAGTATCTTGAAGTCTTCTAGCAACACACAAACACCAAATGAGCAGTGAAAGTATATTATAAGAAAGTATGTACATACATTAAACAACTCAGTTTTCACCTGCACTGAAAACACTTTAGGATATATAATGAAGTTTTTATGGGTAAAATGCTATAATGCTTTAAAATACTCCAGGGGGCACGCGCGCGGTGGCTCAAGCCTGTAATCCCAGCACTTTGAGAGGCCGAGGCAGGTGGATCAAGAGGTCAAGAGATCGAGACCATCCTGGTTAACATGGTGAAACTCCGTCTCTACTAAAAATACAAAAAATGAGCTGGGCATGGTGGTGCGTGCCTGTAATCCCAGCTACTCAGGAGGCTGAGGCAGGAGAATTGCCTGAATCCAGGAGGTGGAGGTTGCGGTGAGCCGAGATCGCACCATTGCACTCCAGCCTGGGTAACATGAGTGAAACTCCGTCTCAAAAAAAAAAAAAATACTCCAGGGGGATGTATGTTAGGTAGATGGGGGACTAGTTCACTATACTATTCTATTTTTGCATATATCTGTAATTTTCCCAGGAGCTCAGGAGTTCAAAATCAGCTTGGTAAACATAGCAAAACCTCCTCTCTACAAAAAATACAAAAATTAGCCAGATGTAGTGGTATGCATCTATAGTCCCAGCTACTTCCCAGGCTGAGGCAGGAGGATCAGTTGACCCAGGAAGCAGAGATTACAGTGAGCCAAGACCAGCCCACTGCACTCCAGCCTGGGGGACAGAGCAAGACCCTGTCTCAAAAAAAAAAAA